TAATTTTGGGTTGGAAAAGTGGGGGTCGTCTTGTACATGGGGGCGTGTTATTGATGGAAAAATACGGTAAATTCAAGGAATTAAAATATTCTAATATTTTGATTAAAGTTACAGAATGAAATAGTTATATATCATCACTTTTCAAATCATCATTTAGAATGCTAATATAAGAAGTATACATATATTTATACAATAATATTCAATGTCCTGTTAGATAACTAAACACATTACCTATGTGGGCAACCTTGACAGATCTTCTGATCGGCAAAGGATCCTCCCAAAACTTTACTTAACATTGCTGGGTGACCTAGGGCTTTTAAAGCTTCATCTAGACTATCCACCAAAGAATTAAAAAATTCCAAAGCATCATGCTGTTCCCGCAGATTTACAGGTTCACCCCAGAGTCTAGAACAAAAAAGATTTTTTGTAATAAAACCAGATTTCTAGCAAATTAAATGTCATGGAAATAAAAACAATTGTTTATCTCAACTTGATATACATTTCTGCTAAAAGATGCATGTTACAGGTATGCAACAATCTTCAAATTATATACCAATTCATTTACAAGGAGGACTAAACTACTGTCACCACCCAAACTCTTCATTTATGGAATAATGTAGTCCCTAAAATAATTTAGGAGATGGGACTTAGAGTGGTGTCTCATGACTTCATCCTTTTTTTCCCTTCCCAGAATGCCTCAAGAAAAATGCTAGTGTGTCCATGCTAGGTGTCAAAGGCTGTTTCTAGACACATTCCAGGAAGAAAAGATGGATATGGCAAAAGCTCCATTCCTGCTGCTATAGCTACCAATTTTTAAATGTTTCAAGAGGAAAACTAAAAGATTTTTCCATTAAAAAACAAAGTAATAAGCCTTTCTTCATCTGGCATTCTAAGCTTTCCCCTCTACAGTGAACCTGAAGTGAAATATAATGATGTACGTATGTACATAAATTAAATCATACATACAACCTTAAGATTTTGCCCCTTTTCCCATAAAGTACAGAACCTTTAGTGTTTGCCTGGACATGAGAATCTGAGATCACATGGGAATGAATAGAGGTAGTTATGAACCAACTTATCCTCTTTGTCAAGCCTCAGAAAGCTTTAGTTATGATGGTGTCCTTATTAACTATAACGCCTGACATGAATTTGCTCATTTGATACACTTAAAAGGGTATATATGGATGAGGTAATTCTGTCCAAATAGGTACAGTGGCCTCTCATCTGGATTACTGCAATGCACTCTACATGGGGCTGCCCTTGAAGAGCATTCAGAAGCTTCAACTGGTGCAGAATGCAGCAGCATGGGTAGTAAATGGCGCCGGTTAGTCAGTGCATGCAACATCACTGTGAGATGCATTAGTTAACAATGTGCTTCCAGGTGCAATTCAAGGTGCTGGTTGTCACCTTTAAAGCTCTTCATGACTTAGGACCAGGTTACTTGAGGGACCCAGTTGTTTCTACCTGATCGATCCGGTCAGGCAGGATGGGCATGCTTCTGGTCTTGTCAGTGAAAGAATGCTGGTTGGCAGGACCTAGAAGACATGCCTTTTCTGCTGTAGTGCCCACCTTATGGAATACTCTCCCTCTGGAGATCAGGATGGCCTTGACCCTGCTGGCCTTTCCTAAGGCCCAAAGATCTGATTCTGTGCCTGGGGCACAGTGTATGCATTTCTCGGCTTCCCGTATTTTTAATTTTTATAATGTTTGTTATTGTTTTTATTCTATTTTAATTCTGTTCATCACCCAAAGTCACTCACTGAGATGGGTGCCATATAAATTGGATACATAAATAAAAATAAAGTTCAGATATCTTCTGTCCTTGAACATAAGACTGAATCTTCTCAAGAGTATTAGAAATGAGCATAATATTTTACCTTTTGTGATATTTCAAACAGTAGTTTTAGGTAAATCTATTATTATTGGTTTGATGTATATTGCTCTCATATTTATTTACCTTTATTTTCACATATTTGTTTTATTATATGTTAGACAAAACTGATTCAGTATAAAATAAAAGTCTGGATTAAATGGAAATGGTGTATTCCCTGTGTACTGAATTCAGTCTGAAAAACTGCTACCAGCAAAGTAAGTGTCAGAATTAATTAGCTCACAGTAAAAACCATGTCTGTTCACCACTTGGATATTTTCTTTCCTGATGAATAGATAGAAAAAACAGGAATTCAGCCATAGCTAGGAAGTTTAAGGGACAAAATTTCATAACTCATTTTTGTGTTTTCTATTAAACTTCATTTCACACTCAAGGATCTTCCTACCATGATGGAGCCCACATGAATTCAAGGCTTTTGTTTGCATTTTGTTATATCGACAATCTACACCAAGATCTTCTCTGAACTGTCCAGTAACTTTTTTCTTTGAGCAATTTTAGCATGCTTTCTACATAGGTTAAAAGGTTCACAGAAAGCTGTACCAATTTAGAAATATTAAATTCTCTTAATGTTTTATTAAATGCATGCTGCTTGTAATGTACCACAAAGACATTTCAACAAAAGTTAATTTCCCATTTACCTGAACTGTTTCCAAAATCCTCTTGGCACATAGTACTGTAATCTAGAAGCTGCTAAGTGACCAAATATGACCTGGAGATGTCTTAATACGCCTATGTTGTATTCTTTTCTGTCTTCTGTTTTACTTAAAGTTGGTTTATCTTCATATGGATGGGGATAGCCAAATACTTCATCACGTGGGTCAACATTGCTCTTGAAAGGAATAATATATTACACATGAAGACTATTGCAAAATAAGAGTTTGGTAGTTGGACTTATAATGAATTACCCTTTCGTCACAGGATGATGGATCTGATATTCTAGGGACAACTGTCTCTTCTGCTGAGAAGGCAGGCCAAAACAATTTTTGTGTCCTTGTAGACGGGTTTCATTAACTGCCACGTGAATGGACTTCAGATGATATTATTACTATTACTATTTCCCACTTTTAAAAAATATATATTTGGTCAACTCAAGATGTCAAACACACCTAATACTCCTGCCTCCTATTTTCCCCACAATAACCCTGTGAGGTGGGTTGAGTTGAGAGAGAGTGACTGGCCCAAAATCACCTAGCCAGCATTCATGCCTAAGGGAGACCTAGAACTCAGTTTCCTGGTTTCTAGGCTAGCACCATAACCACTACCCCAAACTGTTGATCTTTGCTTGTATAGCTAATTATATACAGTGGGGCAAAAAAGTATTTAGTCAGCCACCAATTGTGCAAGTTCTCCCACT